CTCTCCTCTCCTCTACCCCCCCCCGCCCCCCCCCCCCTCCCCCCTTCCCCCTTCCCCCTTCCCGTTCCCCCGCAACTATGACTACTCCTGCCTATATAGGCATAGTGTTGGCAGACACATGGGGGTTTATGGTGTGTATATGGAAGTGCTTGTGGGTATGGCTCACTTACATGACATGGTCTCCTGCACGCTCCCCCTCTCTTGCAACAGGTACCGCTCGGTATTGTCGGCGACAGGTGGCGATGACTGTCGTTGGCCGGCCACTGGCCTTTTGCTCTGCTGCCTCGACGCTGCTGCCAACGTCACCGCTGAAGACTGGGACCAACCCGTGTCTTCTCTACATTGCCCCTCACCACACCGACCTGCCTCAACGGCTCCATCTCGATCTCGATCTTTGTCACCCGCGGTCCCGCCATCGCCCTTGTCTCTCGGCCGCTCGGCATCCATGTCCGCCCCGCCGACAAGCCTGCGGTCATCAACTCGATGGCCGACCCCTCTGCTGGCTGACTTGCTGGCCGGCTACCGTCCGTGGCTCTGGTGAACAGTACCAAGGGGGGGCCCCCACCCGCTCTTACTTCATCCGATCATGTACGCATGTTGTATGATGTTATACAGTCACGATGTCTGTGGGTACCCATGCCGTCGTCCACATCAGCTCGAGCAGCGGGATGTGGTGCCCCCTTGATTGGTCGTGATCAACGGGACGAGTCAGGGAAAGGGGAAGGAGAGGGACGAGCGGACACAGTGACGGCCATCTATTTGACTTGTTGCCTTTGACGTGTGCGGGAACTGGCGACAGTAGCTACGGTAGCGTTGATACTGCCCATGATGCAAGCAGCAGCTTGGACGGGCGAGATCAAGAGGTCGGCGGCGCCTTTGTCAGCAGCCTCTGCCGCTTGGGCAGCCGCAGACTGGGTCCTTCTCCAGCCATCGCCTGCAACTGCGTGTTGACGGACGTCTGTCTTGCCGTGCACGATGCAGTCGCTACTGCGCTCGGACGGACACGCCGCCGCTTGTTCCCGACACACGGCATGTTGGCGTCACGGTCCGACACCGACAAGACTCGGCAGCGCTCTTGTGCTTTGTCATGGACACACAGATTAGCGTCCAGCCGGCATCACCGGTAAACACAAAGCGGAGTGGGCTGCCGCGGATGACGTGCTGAAACTGGATCCCGGTCTGCACATCGTCGACAAACGTCGAAAACGTACCGCTCTGCGGGTCGTACTCGATGGCGCAGATCTTGTCGGCAACAAACTTGGCCGGTGTCGAGAGCTTCTTCTCCATCTTGCCGCTCGTGATCTTGTCTGCTCTCCACACAATTGTTTGCTCGCTGTTGAAAAGCTGAGCGTCCTGTGTCGCCATGCTCGTCACGCCGATGCCGACGTTGCAGGCGGCATCGGCCGGCGCGCCCGACGGCGGCTGCAGCGCAAACTCGAATCGGCACCGAGTGTCCTTGAAACCCCGCGACATGACAATGCCGCTGGTGTTGGCTCCAACCTTTGCCACGTTATCGATGATGCTGGAGATCCCGAGCGCCGTGGAGCTGTTCAAGAGACCATTGTCCGGTGCGGGTGTGACCCGCACGTCCAGCAACGGCATTGGGATGATCCTCTCGATCAGGCCTATATGTGCCTGTGGGAGCATCACCGCCTTGGTCGCCTTTGCCAAAGTCATCTTGCCCTCCTCCACTAGCTTGCCGCTCTTGGCAAGCACCAGCGCGCCGAGCTGCTCCTCATTGGCTTCGATCTTCGCCGCCGCCGCCGCCAGATTGTTCGCCTCACTCTCCAGCCCTACCGTAAACGCATCCAGCGACGTAACGACGGACTGAGTCATGCCTGCTACCCGAGCAATCATGCTCCTCTCCATGTTGTCAAGCTGCTTGCGAAGGTCGTCAAAGTGGTTGGCGATTGTGGCCGTGATCGAGGTCTGCGTCATGGCGAGCCCCGCCCGCCGTGACCGCGCCAGCTCCTTCACCGCCGCCGCCTGACCAGCAAACTTCTTCGCCTCCTCCGCCATCTGCTCGCGCTCCTTGTCGTGCCGATCCAGCGCATTTGTCAGTTTCTCCACAGCATGCCCCTTGTGAGTGCCCCGGGCGATGCACGCTGCACATCCCATCCGCCTCTCGCTGCACTCGGCTTCGCCGCACACCCCAACCCACGGCATGTTGTGCTGGGGGCAAATGGGCGCGTTATCAACGCCAGAGCGCACCGACATCACAGGAACTACCTCATGCTTGACCGCCCCGATCCCCACATGGATTGCCTTTGAGCAATCGGTGCAGAAAGACTTGCGGCATCCCCGACACCGGACGGTCGCCAGCGGCCGATCCTTCCCGTCATGACTGCAGCTGCAGAAGAGCGGCCAGGCGAAGCCGTTCTCGGCCGCCTTTTGCGCTGCACGCAAATCATTGCATGTTTCAAGCATCTGGTAGTTGACCCGAGGGCGTGCCGATGATCGCCTCATGCACGTTGGACACTTCAAGCGTGCTCCGCCGTCGGCAGCCCTCCACTCGCAAATGCAGTCTTCGCAGAACGTGTGTCCGCACGCAAGAACCATCGGCTTCCTCTCAGCCGAGTAGCCATCCATGCACACACTGCACAGTCCAATCTCAATGCTATCCATTTTCTTTGTTCTTACAACAGCTAGAGAGAAGTATAACCAGCTGCTGTGGCCACCATCAGTAGCCATAACTCGCCCAAGTCGCGAACGACTGGAGTGTGACGTCGCGCAACAGAAAAGGGCACACAAACCCCGCTCCAGCCAGCACACGATCGCTACATGATTTGTATCTTGTGGACAAATGATAGGCACCACAGAACAACAAAAGTAACGGGTTACTTGCCCCTCACCTCCCCTCCCCCTCACTGCCTCCCTTCTTCCCTTTCCTTCTTCCTCGCGTCGGTCGCACCAAGGTCGTAAACGCTGTCAGTGTGACGTCGCGCAGCCGAAAGGGCACCCAACACCAGCACCCAGACCTGACCACTCGCCCGGTCCACGCTCACCAAAACATTCCATTGTACATTGTAAAAACCTTTGCATTACACCCGGTCGAGCTGCGCTTGCGGCGTCTGAGTGAGCGGAACATACTTGACGCCCATCAGCACTGTTTCTGAGTAGCTGTCGGCGTCGACCCGATCAACCTGGACAAGCTCCTGATAGCCACCGTCCGGGCCAACCGGAATGATCAAGCGTCCTCCAATAGCAAGCTGGTCGAAGAGTGAGGCCGGAACATCGTCCGCAGCAGCGCCGACGTGGATGGCGTCGAACGGCCCGGCGCCAGGCAGACCGTCCCATCCGTTGCCAACCGAGAGATGAATCGTCGCGTGCGGCGTGTCGGTCTTTGCCTGCCACGCCGCAACGTTGGCTCTGCCCATCTCAGCCAGCTCGTCGATGTGCTCGATGCCGTACACTGCGCCAGCGCCGCCATCACCGATGACGACAGCAAACGCCGCGGCGAGATAGCCCGAGCCAAAGCCGACGTCGAGCAGCTTGGCGTCCGGGTGCAGGTGCTCGACGAGAACCTCGAGCGCATGGGCGTGCATGTGCGGCGCCGAGATCGTCGCGCCCCATCCGAGGTACACCGGCGCATCCAAGTACGGCTCGCTGGGCGCAAACAGGCTGCGGTCGACAGCCTTCATCGCCGCCGCAACGGCCTCGGACCGGATCACGTCGTGCCGGACAAGCGCCTCGACCAGCCGCGTGTTGGTGCTCGCACTCGATCGCCACGCCATTGTGCTCTGCCTGTGTACTCCTTTGGGTCTCACGGGAGACAAGGGTACGTCCGTCTTTTCGCTCCTGGCTGGCTCTGGGCCGTCGCTGCCCGTCGGCGGCATGTACTGGATAAGATCGAGATCAGCGACACAGACAATGACCGCAAGCATCACGCACACCGTCACACCGCCCACCGTCACATGACGACCTCGCAGCCACCCACGAATCTCACCCATCTCTCGTCCCATCACCGTTGTTCCGTCTTCTTTGCTCCTCTTGCCGCCGCTCATTGCTGTCGAGATAGGTATCGGCCGCGTTGCCTGGCACGCACCGGACTCGTTCCAACCCGCGCCGATGACTCTCGGCCGCAATCGGATGATCTCCGAACGGCCAGCCAATACCCATTAACTCAAGAATCCACCTACCCTCTATCGCCGCCTTTGATGTCCAGGTAACGCGACCTGAATCCACGTGTCGTGCTGGTGCAAGCTGGTGCCGTACTAGTTCCCCGCCAACTGGTCGCCGCCTCCAAACCTTGCCCCATATATCTTCCTTGTCTTTCTCCTTCCGCCGCCCGCTCGCTTCCTCTGCGACTTGGCAGGTCGTCCGGCTGGTGGATGGCGGAACAATTCGGGTGACGCGAGCGCGGGGAGCCGCCGTGACTGTTGCTTGCGACGATGTCGGCGACCATGGCGCCGATCCACTCGCCGCCTGTGGTCCAGACGGCTGCTCGGGCGCAAGCTTCACCGAGCGTGGATCCAGCGGCTCGTTGCCGTCGACCATTTCGACCGTTGTCGTCCGCCTTCTTGCTGTCATCCGCAACGTCATGCTCGTTGGGGTGCGAGCGAGCCAGAAGCCAGTCGTGATCAAGCCGGAGGTCTCGTACTCCGAGGACGAGAACGAGTACGACTTGCTCCCTATCTTGCTCGCGTACTCGTACATGAGGTACCAATGAATGAAAGATGCGGCAGGATAATGGCGGGCGCGAGCAATGCCTTGGCACGGTCTGGGGCGTAGGGCGACAGACGAGAGACATGCTCTACGACTCGGACGGCGCCATCGAGGATGGTCTTGCGGATGCGGGCAATGCGCTCGCGACACAGGTGTGGGTCTTTGGTAGCGGCACAGGCGGGTCTTTGGTAGGCCACCACCGAGTTGGCGTGCGGCATAAGGTGGCGAGGCCGCGGGCGAAAGACATGCTCTACGACTCGGACGGCGCGCCATCGAGGATGGTCTTGCGGATGCGGGCAATGTGCTCGCGGAACAGACGGGTCTTCATCAAGGCCACATGCGCTTCCTTCTTCTCCACCGCGGCCGAGTAGGCATACGGTCTGGGCGGAGCCAGAGCCGCGATCTCGTTCTTGAGGGTGACTTGGACCTGACCGAGGACATCAAAGAAGCGACCCGAGTTGCGGTGGAGGACATCCCAAGCGTCCGACTGTGAGCCAGGACGGGCAATCTTGTTCTCCTCATCAGCATCAACATGCTCATCAGCCACATCATCAGCACCTTCCACCTTGGGCACCGCCAGCTCGAGCGCACGCGTCACCTCTGCCACCATCTGCATCATCTCCACAACCGAGCTCTCGGCAGCCTCCAGCTCAGCCAGTGGGTTCTCCCCACCCACAGGTACCATCTCCACCACACGGGGCGTGTCGTTAGCAGGTGTTGCAGAAGACGACATAACGTGAGTGTATACGGAGTGGGTGCTCGGTGAGTGAAGTGTATGTATGCGTGTGTGTGTGTGTGTGTGTGTTGAGCTTGTGGTGGCTCAGTCGGGAGAATTCGGTGTCGTTTGGGTGCGGGCAGGCGGTGTGGCCAGGTGTGCATGTTCCAGTTTGGTAAGCGCGCAAAAGACAGATCTAAGGGCAGGAAGTTGAGAGATGGGGGGGGGGAGAAGGTGTTGGAATGGATGGGGTGGAGTTGTGTTGCCATCAAAGGTGGTGGGGAGGTGGTAGATGGTGGAGAAGACAAGCCGTGCGCAGCGCGACCGAACGGACCAACCAAAACAAGATCGTAACCAGACATGGTCTTGGCCAGACACAGTGCTAGTCACAATGTGATACGGAGCATAGACTGGCAGTATGCACGCACCCCCGGAGCATCCGCCGCCGCGAGCTGTGACTGGCTGCCGTGGCCAAAGCGGGCCAAACGCGCCAAACGGCGGGCAAGAACGAGAGCAGGAGGAGGCAAGGCACCACCTCACGCCAAGCTGCCACAACAGACGAGCCATGCTCGGGGGCGTACCCCAGCAGCATGTGGAGCTTGGACTCCGGTTTCTTCCAGCGTCCAAGGTGCGGCTGGGCCAGCGGAGGCTCGAGGAGAGTAACGCGTTGCTCTGTCACGCCTACGCCGAACACGCGTCGACGTTGGTGGGCGGGACGTCGATGGGGCCACTAGCGCTGTTTCGGACGCGTCGCGCCTTTGAGACGGATGCCTCTGGCTGCCTTCTGGTGGAAGGGCATGTGGGATCGGTGACGAATGTGGTGTATGATGCCGACATCAAGCTGGTCGTCTCGTCGTCGGCCGATGCCAGCCTGAGGATCTGGGACGTGGAGCCCCAGGCTGGCGCCAAGATGTGCATCCAGACGCTGCGTGGGCACAAAGGCACAGTACTGGGATGCATGACGCACTATGGGAGTATGATCTTGTCGTACTCGATTGATGGCTCGGTGATGGTGTGGGCGGTCGATCCGGCGTCGCGCCCATTCAAGTACCCCGTCTTTGTGCTCTCGCAAAGAATCCAGGTGACCTCATCGCCAAAGCGGTCGATCCCGCTGCCGTGGGTCACCGCCATTGACTTTGCCGCTACTAGGGCGTCTGTTTCCGGCACACTCATTGTTGCGCACACTGACGGGGCAATCGACACGTACCGCGCGGTGCGGAAGCGCGGGTCACGGGCGGCGGCGCTCAAGGTGCCGTACTTTGAGCACGACGCATCGTGGCCATTTCTTCACAAGCAAGGTGCATACGTCATCAAGTGGGTTGCCCGCGACAACATTGTGTTCACGCTCTCGTTCGAAAACGTGGTCAAGATGATCGACATCAGCACCGGGCAGGTCATTGTCTCGCAGGACCACCCCCATGAGAAGCCGTTTACCAGCTGTGCCTACAACTCGTCGACCGAAGAGCTGTATCTCATCGACGAGTCGGAAACCGTTTTTGTGTGGTTTCTCAACACGCGGCGCGCGCTCGCGTCCTTTGCCTTTACCCACGGCCCGTTGACCTCGATCTCGCTCACCGACGCTGGCCACGTCCGGCTCACCTCACCCGAGTCAGCCGAGCTCTGGCACGTCGAGCACTTTGAGCGCCTTGTTGAGCACAGGGGCCACACAGCGCCGATTGGCGCTATGGGCGGGATTGTGCGGACAAGCTCGGAAGGAGCCGCGGCCAGCGGTGTGGGAGCGAAGAGCGAGTCGGTCGATGCTGCCGACGGGCTCATGCAGCTGCTGGTCACTGCCGGTCAGGACGACTTGCTCATATTCTGGGACGTCATCGACATGCACCACCACTCGCAGTTCAAGGAGCGGACGTCCGAGGTGACTGCGCTGGCGTACGATCCCTCTTCAGACATGCTTGTGACTGGCCACGAAAACGGCGACATGGCGCTGTGGAACATCGAGACCGGCGCTACCATCCGGGTGGACGCCCACTCCAACACGGTGACCTGCCTTGAGGTTGTCAACCACTCGTTCTCCACCTCGAACACGGCGAGCAAGCAGTTCGTCATCTCGGGCTCGTACGACGGAACGGTCGCGGTGTGGGACATTGCCCGCATTGCACGGACGCAAAAGGCTGTGCCGCGCGCCACCTTTGACGCCGGCATTGGAGAGATTTATGCCCTTGTGTACTCGGCCGAGGGCGAGCTGGTCATTGGCGGGGCAGACCCGCCGCTGCGGATCTGGGCCTTTGACGGCTCGCAGTGCCTCTCGACGCTCAAGCTCAACGCGCACACTATGCCGATCAACGCGCTTGTTCGTGACGGCTCAGTCGTCATCTCTTGCGCCGATGACATGACCATCCGTGTGTGGGACACACGGTCGCACATCTGGCTCCGGACCATTGTCGACGCACACACCGCACCGATCACCTCGCTGCTGATGGTGCCCGAGACGCCGCTGCTGGCCTCGGCAGACGAAGTCGGCGTTGTCTCGCTGTGGGAGTACGCTACTACCGAGCTCTCGGGCGGACTCGCGTTTGTCTCGGCTGCGTCATCGTCGCACGTAGACACGCTGCGGCGTGAGGGCGACGACAGGCTGGCAGGCGCGTCGTCGTTTGCAGCCATGGCGTCGCCGCTTGCGGTCACACCGAGTACACATGCGCTGTCGCGGATGAAAAACCCCGGGCGGAGCGGGTCGGCTCGCATGGCCTCGCTCTCGGTAGGGACAGCCACACCGCTGGCGAGCTTTGCCAACGACGTCGGCATCACCGACCTCGCGTACATTGTCCAGCGGCGCGAGGTCGCAGCATCGACTCACAACGGCACCGTTGTCCTCATCGACATCAATGCTGTCCTCGACGCCTTTAACGGTGTCGACGACACTGCAGCCGCAGCCGCAGTCAAGCAGGCAGCCGCCGACACCGCCGCCGCCGCGCTTGCCGCGCTTGACGATGATGCCATTGCGGCAGCCATCGAGGCGCACTACACCCGCGATCTAAGCGCAGACGACGAGCCCAATCGTACTCGTGTTGCTCTCCCACACCTCCCAGCGAGCAACGAGAACTCCTCGGACACCGCAACTGAGCCGGACTGGGACGCACTCGTTGCGCTTGAAGAGGCACGTAAGAAGCCACGCGCTCAACCGTCGGTCAAAGACTATGGCGAGCTTGCAGTGTTTGTCACGCCAGCGTTTAAGCTCTGATGATGAACAGAGTGTTTCCCGTAGGCTGTGCCACGCCGCTTTTCTTTGCCCTCATCAACGAGTGCGTCGACTCGGCAGCTGCCCTTCTCGCACGACCAGACGTCGAGCTTAGTGCGGCCTAGGAGGAATGTTCGGGATGGACCCCTCTCCGCCGCGTGGACCCCACTGCGTGCTAACCCGAGCGACGGTGCTATACCAACTCGTGGCACGACCTCCTGCCGCTCGTCTTGGTGACGTCGACGTTGTATGGAGTCTCGATTTCAGATGCTCCAGCTCTGCTTCTCAAGCGCAAGCACGGCAGGCTCGACTTTGTGGGCTTTGCACCCGTTACGCCTTTCTGGTGACCAAGTACAAATGGATCTGTCCTGGTACGAATTGGCGATCCTCGGACGCAGGCTGGCGGTGGTAGTGGCGGTGTGCGCGCTTCGATCGGCGACGGTCAAGACGACGGTCATTGCCATGTTCTACATGGTCCTTTTGCTGGCGATATACCTCTTGCGCCACGAGCCGCATGCCGAGTGGCAACGCCGTGGCTGACGGCAACTGGATGGTTACGTCACACAGATTGATCCCAGCAGCGTCATGGTGAACCCCACGACCACCATGGCAAAGAACTACGAATATGTTACCCTCGCACTCGTCGGCGGTCGGGTCGCCGTCGTCGTCGTCGATGAGGAGGCGGACGACTTTGGCACGACCGTGGATCGTGGTCACGCGGATGGCCCTCTTGTTGATTGACGACAGTCGGACTGATGCGGAAGTTGGCGAAGAGTAGACGGAGCGAGTTGGGCCTCAGGTGACAGAACTCGGATTCTGGAATACTGCAGCTGTGGATTGGATACTGTGCAAGGGGGTAGTGTGGGCATGTAGTAGAGTAGTAGTGAAATCAGATTGGCCATAGCTGGTGATGAGGTTGATGGGGAGCGTGTGCGGGGTCGGGCGGTCGAGGACGTGCTCAACCACCTAGGCAGAACAAGTCGACGCGGAAATGAGCCGAGGAAAATGGATATCGATGACAGCGATATTGGTACGGGTGATAGTATGGGACGACTGATGACCTTGCGTGAGGTTGTGGGTAGCGTACCTGGTAGTGGGTGGAAGCTAGGTGGTGATGAAGGTGGGGCTGACCGGGCGAGCGGGCGGCGGCTGGCGGCTGGTGGTCGGCGAGGAGGGGACAGCTGAGGGGGCTGGGTCGAGGCTGGGTGGCTTGAGATTGGTATTGGTTGGTGGACGGGCAGTGAGGCATGTGATGATTGAGGGGTATGAGTGTCGGAGTCGGGGATGAGGATGGGGGTGAGCTGGAGCGGGAAGAGGACGAGGATGAGGAGGACGAGCAGGAAGAGGGGTGCGCGATGGGATGGTGGTGGGCATGGCCAAGGCATGTGGGTAGGGCTTGTGGCTGGAATGATTGTGATATTGGTGGAGTAGGCGGTGAGGGTCGTGGTTTGTGGTGACGGGTGGTAATGAGTATGGTAGGGGGGGATGAGGGGGGTCGTGACGTGGGTGACGGGACGGGCGAAATGGTAGTAGGTATGGCGATTGGGCTTGAGCATTGACGAACATGGGTATGATGAGACTGATAGATGTGTGTGGAGTGTGGGCGATAGGGGCGACGGGTACTTGGCCGGCAGAGGGAAGGCGGCGGACGGGATTGGATTGAGATGGACGTCGATGGAGACGAGAGCTTGGGATTGGAAGAGGAGGCAGACCACTGCACTCTAGCCCGCCACTGCATTGCCTATCGCTTGCACTTGCCCTCTCTTGTTCTTCTTTGTCTTGGCCAGCCCGGTGGTCTCGTCGTCTGGCTCGGTGATCGGCAGCAGCAGCGGCTGGCGGAGCAGGCCAGCAGGGGCTGTGATGGGCAAGGCCGGAGGAGGGAGAGGAGGATTGGGTTAGAGGGCAGACTGGTAGGCATTGCCATTGATGTGGCTGTCTAAATGCATCGCCTCCAATGTCCTGTCGATAGCTAGCTTGCTCTCGGTGGTGCCGGTGGTGGTCGGTCGGCGGCGGGCGGCGGTCAGCGGCGAGTAGCAGGCGGTCGGCAGCGATGCTGTTGACGGGATGGCGTCGGCTGATGTGAATATCGGCGGGCAGGAAGTGGGTGGCTATGTTTGCAGGGGTGGTGAGTATGCGTGGTGTGGGTGTGGTGGTTGTGGGTGGACAGGTTGGGGAGTGGGGGTCGGAGATGGGCCCGGGGAGGAGGGGTCAGCAGCATCGAAGGGACACAGGGCCAACAACTTGGGCCTGAGCCGGCAGAACTCGGATTCCGGAATACAGCAGCTATGGATTGGAGACTGTGCAACGGGGTAGTGTGGGCATGTAGTAGAGTAGTAGTGCAATCAGATTGGACATATCTCTTAATGAGTGTGGTGGGGGCGTGTGCGGGGTCGGGCGGTCGAGGACGTGCTCAACCACCTAGGCAAAACAAGCCTACGCGGAAATGAGCCGAGGAAGATGGGTGTCTATGACGGCGATATTGGTACTGGTGATAGTGTGGGATGTATGATGACCAGTAGTGTGGTCGCGGGTTGCGTACCTGGTAGTGGGAAGGAGCTACGTGGTGATGAAGGTGGGCTGGTCGGGCGAGAGGGCGACGGCTGGCGGCTGGTGGTCGACGAGACGGGGGCAGCTGAGGCAGCGCGGTCGGGGCTGGGTAGCCCGGGATTGGTATTGGTTGGAGGATGGACAGTATGAATAGTGATGGTTGAGGGGTATGGGTGTCAGGGTCGGGGGAGAGGATGGGGGTGAGGTAGAGCGGGAAGACGAGGAGGACGAGGAGGAAGAGGAAGCCGAGTGCGCGATGGGATGGTGGTGAGGATGGCCAAGGCAAGGTGGTGGTGGTTGTGGCTAGGATGATAGTGATGGTGGTGGGGTAGGGGTGGGGTGGTCGTTTGTGGTGACGGGTGGTAATGAGTATGGTAGGGGAGATGAGGGGGGTCGTGACGTGGGTAACGGGACGGGCGAAGGGGTGCTGGGTATGGCGATTGGGCTTGAGCATTGATAAAGGTGAGAATGATACGGCTGATGGGTGTGTGCAGCGTGTGGGCGATAGGGGCGGCGGGTACTTGGCCGGCAGGGGCGAGGCGGCGGACGTTAATTGAGTTGAACGTTGAATTAATTAAAGAAAAGCCGGAACCAGCATCAAACGAGGCGATGACGTCCACAACAACAACCAAAGATCATACATGGCTTGCACAGCATACGTATGAGTAAGCCAATAGGAACTAGACAAAGCTAGCAGGCAATGGGATGAACTCGGGTGACGTTCAGGTCGATGAGGCAGGGCGCGGTTG